GCAGCCAGGGAAACCCCGGGTGCTCCCCTGTCTCTTGAGGCAGGGGCTGCGGACCAGGAACTCTCCCACGGGCTCAGGGCCATGCAGGCGGGCACCTGCCTCCACAGTAACAGCAGCCCCAAAAGCTCCAGACTGCAGCTAAACAGGGCAAAAACGCTCCAGAAGAGACGGCTCCGCCTGTGGAGTCCCTCTGCTCTAGTCCAATTCAAGCTCACCCTTTGGCCGCGCTCATCACGGCCCGTCCCCAGCTCCCATACCCCTGCCCTGCCCTGCCCTACGTGGGCGCCACCTCGCCAGCGCTGCCTCCCTCCCTGCAGCACCTCCCTCCTCTGTGCCCTGCTGCTCGCCCCTTCCCTGCAGCTTGCTCCAGCTGCCCCAGCTCGTGCAGTTTTGCACGAATGAGTACATCAGCTAACTACCACACAGGGGATGCTGTCTTTCGCTCTCACCATCCTTACCAGTCACGTGCATGGATCAGGTAAACAGTTCAGAGTAAGGCCAAGCAACGCATCTGGAGAGAGCCACACAACAACTTCCCTCCTATCTTGGAGGAGCCTTCGGGTTCCAGCTGAATAAAGCCAAGTTGCCACTTAAAGTTTGCTTCGCACCACATTGAGACACAAAAAATGCAAAACTTTGTTCCTTGGGCATCTACCAATGCATCAGTTTTACTGCTCCCAATGGCCTCGTCATAAAATTCCCCAGTAGCTCTGTGCTTTGCTTTTTTGAAAGAAGGTCTCCTAACTTACTTAGGGATGACTTCCTTAGACATTGCATTAGTCTTTCTAAGCAAAGCAATTAAGCAGCTATAACTGTGCCATTTTTAAAAGTTGGATGTTTTCATGTATCTGCACACTTCACCTTTGATGCACACTTTTCACCAGTAAATATTACAGCAATGCTTATCACAGTAACTGCAGCTCCAGTTGCATCTCCACCATTGTATAAGGTGTTATCATTCAGCAAATTTTTAAAGTAACAGTAGAACTAGGGATTCAAGATCTTAAAGATGCTCAAATACAAGTGAAAAATCACAGTAGGGAAAATAATTGTGGCTCTAACACTAGCATACTTTCCAAATATTAAAAATGATATGGTATATTTGGAAAACACTTAGTATATAATATGCTGTGTATAGTAGATTGCTCAGTTGTGGTGGTTTGGAAAACTGATGCAATAAATAGCCAAGTTTTCTAACTTTAACAGGGCAGAGTGCTTTTCATGAATCTGAAGACATACTTCAGCATTATTTCAAATATTTCTTCCTCAATTATTCTTATAAAAACCTTTAAAATTCAATAACTGAACTATCACATTAAAACTCAGTCCAAAGTAATTTACAAATTAGAATTAAAATTTAAAAAAAAGACTGAAAGTTTGCTCAAGCATATAGGGCCCAGTCTTCACAGTACATAAACAGTCTTCCCAAGAGTAGCCTCATTGAATTCCACTACATTACTGTTTACTAAGTTGAGTAAATGCTGCCTGATATTTTAATATATATCCATAGTCCATTTCTAGGCATTTTCGCAAATTAATTTAAGATTACAGGGAGTAGCTGCAAACATGGTAAGAAATCAGCTTCATTCAGCAGAAACAAGAAAACACAATTTACATTTAAGTGTCTTGTAATTTATGCGTAAAAAGGGAACTCTTATTTCAAAAGCACTCTAACACACACTGACATCCCTGCACATGGGAGATTTAAGTTACAAATTTAGTTTCTTGGAGAACATTTATTCTGAAAGGCAGATGGATTGATACATAAGTGATTGCCACAAACAGCTGTGCACTTATCTAAAAGAAGCTACAACATAACTTCAAGAAGTTTGGAATCCCACGCTTCGAGAATATTTACCAGCTGGGATTTCCCTACCTCCTGCCCAGTACAAAAATCCATATCTAAGGGTCAGATTTCTTTTTTTTAAACTACATCCTTTCCAAAGCAACTTTAAATTACAAAAGGGTTTCCCTTTTCTGAAAATTACCTGTTTCAGAGTACCTTTGCTGACAGAAACAAGCAGACAAATTATCAGGTAAAAGAAATATTTCCAAAGGAGGCAAGAGAGGCATGGAGTCTAATGGGCTAGCACAAAAAGGTCTTCTATCTCTGTTGCTGACTCATTAGTGACACTGTGTATGCTACTTTCTCTCCATTTGCTTTACTTTACCATCTGTAAAATGCTCACCTCAGACATTATGCAGCTCAATTAAAAGCCAAATTTAACCCAGAGATTCAGGAAAATAATTCTGTCATCTTGCCTCTTGCTCTTGGAAAGAGCAATGTAAGCAGAGTGATTATGACCATTCTTCTCTAAAAGGATTTGTTCTTGTATAATGATATCAAAGTCATCTGAGAAAAATATTTCTTCAACACATCAGATATCCAAATATTGCCATTTTATCTTCAAAAGAGAGGTAGCCACTGCTGCAAAAGTTTAAGCTATGATTTGAGAGATCTTAGAAACAAACTGCAGATCCACTTAGTAAGCCTTGCTTACTAAGCATCATAGAAGCATCATAAGACTTCTTCAGCTTTGTGAAACAAAGTAGAGAAGAGATACTACAAGTAACCGGCCAGGTTAAGGCAGAGAGACTTAGTCAGAATTCATTCCAGCACTAAAAAAAACCCTTAGTTCCAGCAATAGACTCCTCTTACATTTAGGGAATACTGCTATAACCTGTAACAATATGTTTACATGCATCTTTTCTGCTACAAATACCTGAATTCCCTCTACCTCAAGAAAACTTACGCAGCACGAACTGAAAGTGACATTGATGTGAAGTCATTTTCCAGTACCGCACAGGATCAAACCTCAGATGAAACCACTTGACTCAACAAAAACTTACTGCATAGCAAACAAGCATACAATAACATAAATTCACTCTTTGGGAGCTGCAAAGTTATGTACATACTGAACAAACTGTAAAAATAAAAATGGAGGAAAAAAACTCGATTGTTTTCAAACTTATTAAAGCATTTGGTCACAGATGGCCCTCTTATTGAAAACTGGCTTAGCTCCTCATTTGGCAGTGTCCTTTCTTGCACAATTTACCAAGCCATGCATGAAATGACAGCCTTAAGCTACTCTCAGTTCTGCAAAGGACATGAGCTCCCTGCCACGGAAAAAGGAAGCAACATCACTAAAGGGAGCTAGGGGCTGTCACAGCACTGCAGCTTCTCTGCAAACAATGCCCATTGGGACCTCCCCTTCCAGCAGATACCTCCAGGACCCTCGCCTCTTACTACTTCCCACCTTCACCTCCAGTTAGCAGGGAGTTATTTGAGATTCACCAGGGATGCATCGAGGGAGCTATGTGAGGTTCATCAGAACTGTGCCTTTGTGCCTTTTGTAACCATTTTCCCATATCCAGTTAATCTAGCTTTATTTCCCAACTGTGCTATACAGCTCTCAATAGGAATTCTGTTTCTCTGGGAAATCACTAAATTAGTCAAATCTCACTCTGAGAGTCAAGCCAGAATTTCATTGTGAACGCTGTACTTTTTAATTAAAGTTGCTCTATTTACAAAGAAATCTGTGTCACAGTAATGCAGTCTTGTGAAGGCTGTGTCAGTAACCATCCCATTACACATCCAACTGCTTGCACAAGGACTGGACTTCAGGGAACTAAGTTAGGTGTCAATACTTAAAGACAGCTTCCCTCCCTCCCCTCCCCCTGAAACTGTGAAATATCAATGCATTTCTAATAACATATTCTAGGAAGCACTCAGGAAAACACCTGACTATTGCATGAACAGTATGGCTTGTTCATTCATGCCCAGAACAGCAGAGGAACAAGTAAACAATTGCCATTATTTATTTAGGGCCAAAACATGATCTCTTCCTCCTCACTAATTTTTGTAACAATGATCAGACTTTCATGAATCAGAATTTTTTTTTTTAAGTATTATTTTTAAATCTTCTTTTTTTTTTCCCCACTCACCTCTGAACCATATAAATCAATCTGCGTGTATCTATTTGTTGACAGTCTCCTAGTCCAGTAGTTACTAGCTCATTTCAGTCTATCTAAAGGATGCTCAGATTCTCTGTGCATGAAGACAGGAATAGTTTTCCTCCTGCTTCACATGGAACAGCCTTTATGTCTCCACATTTGAGATAAAAATCTGTCTGTATAAATGTATAACGTTTACCTAAAAAAAGGCCCTCTGCATATATCTGATGTATGTTCTCAGCAATCTTGTGTTTTAATAAGTCAGAGATTACTATCATTCTGTTCTTTTGAGGAAACAATCTTAGTTCTAAAGTCCAGCTCCTTGAATAAATACATATGTATTATGTAGTAATACATTAAATACATACGTATTATGTAGTAATACATATGTATTTATTATTGTTTGAATATATGTGTATTTATTCAAGGAGCTGGACAGACTGATTAGGTTTGAAAGTACTAATCAGAAAAAACATTATGAATCTGAAAGTCTGGTAAGCTATCACAGTTCTATTAATCTTACTTGTAAAAAAATTTCATGAAAAATTCTGAGGTTATTTCACTCAGAATTTGATTCAATGCATAAGAAAACTACCATTACTTGTAAGAGAAGTACTTATGACTGATACGGAGACACAAGGGACCTTTCACACATTGTTCATTAGTGGTACTTGCTTGCTAAGACTAAGCTATACTGAGTGGGAAGCACCAA